TGTGTAAATGATAGAAAGTTGGCTTGTTTGAATAAAATAGTGAATGCCATAAGTGATAATTTGTTAACTATTAGTCTTGTGTTTTATATAAATTAGAAGATTGGTTAAATCGAATTTCTAATCAAATAAAAAAAATGAGCTTAAAAACAAACTTGGTGTGAATGGAGTTCTTTGAAATGGTTATTTGCTGACCTTACCGTAATTTCCCGAATTTCATTGGAGAATTAGTACATTGTTAGGTGTCTATCCATATGTTTCTGTGCATGTATATTTATATTTGTGGCTACATGTCTATATGTTTTTTGTACAACTATTTCATTCATCTGGACTATTAAGAATAATAGGTTGTTAAGGATATAAGATTTAATTGAATGACCCTGGTCTTGGTCTATCTATAACTTAGTGTCGCCAATATTTCAATAAGCTATGGTTAAGAGAGACGGATTTGTTGCTATAGGTGGCTGAAAGAACTCATCTAATTGTGGTTCTTGGATGGTTCTCACCAAACAAATGTGCACACTCGCCCATTACATCTAGATGAATGTTTTAGCCAGAGGCTTAATACTCAAACTCAAAAGATTATTGCCTTCTTCCAGCAAGATTCTGCAGATCTATCACCTAGTTTTTGTTTTAAATTTGCCATTCCCCTTTCAAATGACTTCCTTGGGCAAATGTGCGCACATACACAGTCTTCAAAGTTCAAATGCACAGAGTACCAATAGTGAAAGAAGATTTAATAAAACAACCTTTTGTAAAAGTGTTCTCACTGTGTGTTTCAATCGAAAAGAATTAACAGTTAGCTGAAAAAGAATTAATAGTTATTAACAGGACAAGTAGTTTTTGTCATCATGGCTGTGGTGTATATCATGTTTTACTTTTTTTTGTTTGTCGTGTTGAATAACAAGTGTCAATTACTTCATACCATATTTGATGCCATTTCCTCGGGATGTTGATTGCTCAACAAGGACGGAAATAATTATTTTTGTGTGTTAGATTTGCGATTATGCTTATGAAATGAAGAAGATTGAGATGTTGCCGAAGGCAGTCAATTGTATATGCATACAAGTCAAGTGATGTAAATTTCTCTCTGAATCCATATTCGGCTGGTTTGGTTACTGATAAAATTGGTGGGAGAAAAATGAGAGATGGCAAATGCTATTTGGTAGAGAAACTAAAGTATTTTATCATGACGTTTCAGAGTGTTATTGAAGCTGTTAATAGAAGGATATCAGTGATTATCATCTTGAGCCTTTCGAATGATTGAAAATTTTTAGTTTCATAGAAGCTAAGGTAGTATTTGCTAGGTCAAATTATAGATGTTCATCGTTTGAAAAGGCATTGCCCCTATTTTGATGACATGAACTGCACATGGTAGGAAAATGGAGATGCAAGGAGAGGGTGGTCACCCCTACATTCCAAGAGATCTGAAATTGCCTGGTTATGTGCCTGTGAGCCTCTCTCAATCAACCATACTTAGCATTTTTGGAATCTCTTCTCTATTGGTCGTCTCCTTCATGTGGATCCTCTCCGGTAATCCTTCAACTACTATTTCATATATTATTCTTATTGTAGGCATTAGCCTGCTCGAAAAAGCTCTCTTTCTGCCTTTGGTACCTCTATGTTGATAACCATAATGTGAAATGAATTCTAAGTACAGAAGTCCACTTTGACCTCATTACATGTAAACGAAGGTTTTTATAAGTCAAGCTATGAGCGCCACTAATGTTTGAACCTACTGATGAGGAGGTTCAATACAGTATCAAAGCAAGCAAAAGTCTTAAGTTCGAGTTTTACTGTTACCTATTTATAAAGTTGTGCATGTGTCAAGCCTTTGATGAAGAAGTGAAATCAGCCCGCACTCGACAGGGCGTGTTAAATACACTAATCAAATAAATTAATTTGTCTGCACTCTAATTGCTTAAACTTTAGATGAGGTGGTTTAACATAAACTATGTGCTGGCCTGGTTGCTCTAATAGAATGGTACTCTCGAGACCTTTTTATCTATAAAATTTAATTGGCTTCTGGAAAACCTTCCGTTTTCATTTCTCCATCTTATTCTTTATAATGCTAGGTCGGTTTCCAAAAACGTCAAAAACTGAGAGATGGCTAATGTGCTGGTGGATTTTCACGGGCCTGACCCACATTATTCTTGAGGGATATTTTGTATTTTCCCCAGAATTCTACAAGGAGAAGGCTTCATTATACCCTGCAGAAGTTTGTGAGTTTTGCTAACTGCTTCATCCCATAAGTTTTATTTCCCTAGTTGGAATGATGCAAGCCCCACAGCTGTATATTTTGCTTATAAATGAATATGGCAGGGAAAGAATACAGCAAAGGTGATTCAAGGTATGCCGCAAGGGATTCTTGTGTCGTCGCTGTTGAAGGGATTACAGCCGTTTTAGAGGGTCCAGCCTCTCTCCTTGCTGTGTACGTTCTGAACTATGAATTCTTTTATCTTTCAAGTGAAGTATTATGTTGTTTCACTTTAGTCACTAAACATTTTTCTATTTTTATTTCATTTAAGCCACTCCGTCTACTTCAGTCTATAAAACTGTTGCTTTGGTCATCTATATGAACAAGAATGCATCTTGTTGGACGACTTGTGCTTCCCCTGATGCGCTTTTTGAAGTAACAAAAAGAAGTAATTTAAGAAAGAAAGTTGTAACAGGCATCCCAACCGCACTGCAGTCCCCCACCATCATCACATCGACATACTTGTTAGTACAGGGTTGACAAATTGATTAAATTAAAACAAAAATGAAGCTTCGGTTATTAATTTGGGGCAAAACAAGTTTTCAGTACCAAAGTGAAATAACACTAAAACCAACACGTAGAAATTTCTTACAGATTTTTGAATTGGACCTAGTTTTAAGCGTCTTTTCCTTACCCCTCATTCCTGATCTTACCATACTATGGTTTTAACATCTGGCAGGTATGCTATTGCAACAAAAAAGTCGTATAGGTACACACTCCAACTGGCTATTTCTTTGGGGCAGCTCTATGGAACTGCTGTATATTTCATCACGTCTTACTTGGACGGAGACAACTTTGCTGCAAGCATGTATTACTATTACTCGTACTACATTACAGCTAATGCTTCTTGGGTTGTAATTCCCACAATCATCAGCATATACTGCTGGAAGAAGATATCTGCAGCACTTCAAGTCCAGGAATTGAAGAAGGCCAAACTACGCTGATGCTGAGGTTGGACGGGTCATTGCTCAAGGTACAACTTTTAATTTGCTTTATCAAGAAATATTTGAATTTATCATAGATTGAGCTAGTGACACCAACATTGGCAATTTGGCATACAATGATCATATTTTGAGGTTTATCACTGAGAATTTTTCTGATGAGCAAGCAATCCCATGTTGATACTCAAGTCCACTAATGCAAAGCTTGTCGCAATTTGTTCCAGTAGTTGTTCTCTCTCGCTGTCAGATGTAGCCTTTTTTTTTTTCTTTTCTTTTTTCAATATTTTCACGAACTCTATCACATGTTTTTATTAAAGGGTCATTAAATTGAAGAACTCTGTTTTGTATTTTTACGTAACTTTAAAGTAGAAAAATAAAGTTGTGTTTGATTGCAAATATGAAAATTTGCATTGAAAGAAAATAAGTTTTAGACAATTGAATTGGATAGAACTTATTTACATGAAAATTATTAATTAAATGTGTTTGATTGATTTAATTTTCAACTTAAAAATGTTATACTTGTCAATCTTTTATTGATGGGTAGATGAAAGAGGGGGGCGGGGGGGTGTGAATGAGAGGGAGAAAGAGAATTGCCTAGAAAATAAGAAACTACTCTTTATAGAAAATGTTTTCCTTGTTTTTGAAAAAAATATGGTCACGTGACCAACTTTTGGAATATTTTCGACAAAAAAAGTCAATCAAACACTTCAAAAGTGAAAATTTGGGTGGAAAAATGATATTTTCCATGAAAAATAAAATCAATCAAAAGCACCCAAAATGAAATATTTCAAGAAAAATGGTGCGAAAATACAATAGTTCTGGATTGCTTAAAAATTATAGAAAGTTTTTAATTATAAAATTTTCTTTAAATGCAAAATTAAACCTTTTAAATTATTTGTCGCTGATTATAATAATTTTTTTTTAGAAAACTATAAATGGTTTATGAGATACATATATGTTATTACACGTAAATAACAACAAACCATTGTAAGTTCCCTTGGTTTGATATCATTCATGTTACCTTGAGGTTCAATTCTTTGGACACAAAGATTTTAAAGATAATTTTGAAATCCGATCAAACAAGTCAATCAAATCGACCATTTAGTATAAACACTGCTGGTTGACCTAATTTTTGACCGGATCACTTTCATTCAAATCAAATTAGAGGTAGCGAAGAATTCATTTATAAGATCTACTCTACATAACATTTCAAAAATAAGAAAATAATTTTGAAATTTCTAAAATCAGATATTTTAACATATACATACATATATATTTATATATTTTTTAATTTATATATATAAATACATAAAAAGATATATAATATAATTAACTCACCCCACTTCCACCACCCCTGCTGCTCCGACGATCGTCCGGCTACCGTTCCGACGACTATTCTGATTTCGACGATTGCTCTGATTCCAACGACTATTCCGGCAACAACAACGCTATACTTTTAAAGTCACAGATTTATACAACATGGTCACAGATTCACAATTTTGTAGGTAGTGGTGTCAACGAGTCGAG